ACCAGATGTCGTGGCGAGCAGGTGCGCTCCTGGGACCTCCCGAGCGCCCCAGGAAGAATCCAAGACCCCGCCAAGCGCTCCAGGAGACCCCCAAGACGCTACGACCTCAGATTGCGGCTGGAGGTCGTGGAGCGCTCTTGGGGCCCCCAGGGACCTCGTTGCGTGCCCTTGGCCGCAGTTGGGTCCCTTTCGGGCATCCCTGGGACGTCCAGCCTCCGCCGCCCTGAGGGCGGCTGGGATTTCAGTGGCCCCTGCCCTCCTGACTCTGCGGGGAGGCGCGGCGACGCCCCCGACCTGTACCCTGCCACTTTCGCTAGGTGCCGGTCTATACGTGCTCGCCCCGCTCGAGACATCCAGCACGTTCAGAAGTACACTTAGCCAGGCGCTAGGTGTAGTTCTGCGCGTGCTGGTTTCGCCAGGGACATCCTCACAAAACAGAGAGCACTCATATAACTACACCTAGCCAGCGGGGCGGGGTACATGTCGGGGGCGCGACTCGCGCTCCCGACGTGTACCGTGCCCCGGCCGCTAAGTGTAGTTCTGTACGTGTCCCCTTTTGGCGAAGCATCGGCTGCCCGTGCTGCCCATCTCCGAGGCCCCGTCCCCAGGGCCGCTCCCCGCCGACTTCCCACTTTCTCAGGCTCAGCGAAACCACCTGCATGGCCGCTGTCCTTTTTCCACCTCGCACTGCCCGCTGCCCTTCCCCGCCTCTGCCCCAGTATGATGACCCCAGTGTTTTCTGTGCTTTGGGGCGCCGCTTTGCCTCAGGCGTGATCTCCTCCCTCGTCTCGTGTCTCCGTGCCTTAGCAGCCTCTTTCATTATGTCCTTCCACTTCCACCTCATCCCCGTGTCTCGCCAAGTTTTGTAGCCGCGATCGGTTCTATGCGTGCCGTAAGTAAATGCCTGGCCAGACGCCCCACGCCTTCGAATTTTTTCCGTGCTGGATCCCCCCTTCCACGGATGAAGCGGCAGTTCGCGTTATCATTTCCTGTTGCAGCAGCCGCTTAGCCCCGCCGTGAAACATGCTGATAGTTGCAACGCTTGGCGCCCCACGTGTTTCGCATGGCCAGCGCTCCCCGTCGTAGGTCGCGAGGCGGTGCCCGTCCACCCAGACCGACCAGCGCGCCTAACCGAATTTTGATTGCCCCCCCCCTGGTCCCCGCAACTGGGTGGAGTTTTGCTAAGTGTAGTTTTTGATGTGTTCGAAATTGAGAGAGAGGAGCATGCCCGGACCATCCAAGCCTATGCGGAAAGCTTGGGGTTCCAAGGCGGCCTCCGCCGCCGCATTTGAGTCGAAGATGGAATCGAAGTCGATAGCATCGGGGTCCACAGTGGGTTCCGCTGCCCCCCCTCGGCGTCAAAAGTGCCGAAGAGCTCTTTTTCCAGATCTTCGTGGAAATCGTGCCCTTCATCCTCGTGAATCGCCGGTGGGTCCGTTGACGCGTGCGCATAGCCCTGGCATTTGCCCCACTCCCACTGCTCTGATTGCCTCGTCCTCGGCCGCGTCGGCCCCGGCCCCTATGAGCACTAGGGAGCACCCTCGGGGTTCTTGAGCAACTTGGGACTTTGTCGCGAGCGCGGCCAATGCGCCGCATTGCTCTTTTGACTGGATCGGGGTAATGGTTGGCAAATTTGAGATGGCGGTGCAACCTAAGGTTGTGTTCGGTTTGTCCATACATGACAACCCCTGACGAGATTCACAGATTCGGCCATCCAGGAGACAGGAAAGTGAAGTGTCGAGAGTAGTCCGCGCCCCGGCCGACAGAGACACCAAGGAGTGCGAATATCCATTGCCTCAGTGGCGCGCGCTGTTTACAGCATGATGCATGGCATAGGTGGGCCGTGCCCAGGGGACGACCAGAAATGCGACAAGCAAAATGGAATATAGTGCACTGGCAGTGCCGCTTTTAATACATGCTTCGCGTGCGGATCATATTCTAAAGATTAAAATTTTTTATGAAAAACAATGATGAGTTCATGTAAATATTTATTTATCAGTTATTCATGTATTTAAATCTTATATTTCAAAAAATGCCATACCTTAAAAAGGGCCCTGCATTTCCAGTGCGTCAAAATCAGAGCGCCCATCGCCGCATTTTATGCCAAGCTGCTCCCGCGCCCGGTCCCAAATCTCCGGCACCGTGATGGTGGACAAAATTGCCAGAATGCAGCGCATGCGCTCCTCGTCGAAATTCCCACCGTCGTGCTAAGGGCATAACCACGCCGTCGACGTCGGCGATAAAAACGAACATGCAGAGGCAAGATGACAAGGAGACGATGGGGGGAAGAGCATGAAGAAGCAGGCCAGAAGCACGGAGGAGGCGGGAGGGGAGAAAGGGAAGGGGATGGGTGGGAAGGATGCGGTGGAAGGAGGAAGAACAAAAAGAAAGAAAAAGGGTGCGAAACAATTGCTCCATTTGACCAGGACAAGGACAAAGAGGTCAGCGCGGATAATTCCAAGGAGGGCCACGGGGATGGCTGCGAGTATAGATCCAGAAAAAGACGGTTCAAGGGAAGGCTTTCACTGAAGATTTGGAAAAAAATGCAGTGGAAGGGCCAGGGCGACTTCCCGAGAGGGGGATCCACAGCAGGTCCCAAGCAAAGATCCAGAAAAATCCCGCGGAAACTCCGCGCGAGGTTCCAGGTCCAGGGGCAATTCCGCGGACCAAGCAAAGTCCTAAGCGCCCCGGGGTGGCTTTAGAAATGTGCCGCTGGGCCCATGAAAGCCACGTGCCTTATGTTTGCCTGGTGTTGTTTTTTTTTTGCATGCCGAATGCCATAAATTATCAATATTTGCTTGTGCGTCGTCATTTTCTCAATCTTCTTTTCCTTGCCGAATCGGACATGAGGGGCGTGCATGGTAAAGTCTCGGCCTTCAGACCGCGCTGGGGCCTACATTCGCCGAACAGCGTTTGCATTCATGGGGTCACTTAGATTGCACCGCATGCGTTATTGAGGCGTTAGTTTTTGGACGGCATTGATGATTGCAGCACGTTTGATACGTAAGGGAATTTGTTTTGTGTGTTGTCACCATATGCGCATTCTTCGATCCAAAAATTTAATCGTTTGAAGCCCGTTGCGGGATTAGGTTTGTTTTCGGAACCTATCATAACCTAAAATGATTGGACATCATTAGTGGAATATGCCGAAATTCGTGGGGAACACACGATCGCGCAAACATTATTGCTCGTGAACTTGGTGTATCGATATAATGACAGTGGCCCATTCGACGGCCATCTCGGGAACTTACCAATTCCTTGAAAAATGCTTGAATCAAGTAGAGATGCCGAACAATGTGTATTTGCGTGGCACGTCATATGGTACAGAGGTCCAGAACGGTTGCATTGAATTTTTAAGTGGTGGGGTATTTTTATTATCCAACAACGATTTCGGCTTCAAGGCAGATGCGATGTCGCATTCCAAAAATTCTTGTCATTCTGGACGAAAAGAAAATAACGGTTGTAAATGCATGCCTTCTTGACCGAACAAATGCGCACCTCGCAAGCGAGTGCCGTATGGGACGAAAAAAACCCAGCAAACATAATGATTGCATCGTGCCCTGTTTTTCCCTTCTTTCCTTATTATTCTGCTGATTTCTGTCCTGCGCATTTCTCCTTTCCACGTCCCCCCAAAAGTCGATGAACTGCTGCATGATCACCCGTGTCCTTCTAAATGTGCGCATTCGCGAACATGCAAAAATGCGCGTTTGCGCCTATGCCAAACTCATAAAGAATACGAAGTCGCATTCGCTGCGCAAGGAGTCCGGGGCACGATGGGATGATGCAGGCGGGATTGTACCCATGGGGGAGGAGGAAGAAAACGGATGTATTCGGGGCGAGCGATTAATGATCGCATGGACGGCGACCGATCCAATGAGTCGGGCAGATTGTTTTAGGAGAGGATCCAAGAAACAAGCGAGTTGAATGTGGACCTCAGTGAAATATAGCCCCAGCAGCAAAAAAAAAACATGATTTTATTAAATTTCCTTGTCTCTTTTCGGGCGCTGGGGTTCTGCGTAGAATCCAAACGCCCCTCTTAGCCAATGCCGGCCCGGTGCTGACCCCGACGCATTGCCGGGTGCCAAAACCGAGGCTCTGAACAACGAACCACAAGAGCAACAACCGCGTTAAACTTGCAATTTTATCTGTTACTCAGACGCTTCGGACTATTATTGAAACGCTTTTTCGGACACTGAAATGCTCGTTGCTGAAATGATTGCTACCGCAAGAAACTAATGTTTAATGTTCGGCACGGTTATATGGAGTTATTCGGAATATTGCAGTGATCAGACGGGATTAGTGCCGAACCCCAACGTTTCAAATGTCTACAAGATGCCATGCCCGACGCCTTTGGCAACTGTTTCAATGGTGAAACGTTCACGAAATACAGTTGTTGCCGCCCTGGCGGACGCAGGGGTTAGAGGCTATTATCCATCCAAACACTGCCCCACATTTTATTCATATTTGCAAGCCACCTTTTGTCTCGCAATCCTGATTCCTCATTCTTCTCCCTTCCTGTCGTCCTCCTCCTCTCGTCGCGCAACCATGGGGTTTCCGCAAAATTTCGGCGATATTTCTCAAGGCTTCCGTTCCACGCGGGCCTACAGTCACATGGGCTCCAATACGTCATTGTGGAAACGTTGTTTTTCGGAAAGGGGATAAACAATATCTATGGTTGCTGATCTCTCGCGCTCCTCGCGTTCCCTCTCCCGCTCCTGTCAGGCGAATTTAATGCAGAGAAATCGTAAAGCGAAAAGGCGCAAGGAGGGGGGGGGTGAAAGGGGGTGCTCGCGCAAAACTTAGCCAAAACAACAAAACATGCTGGAGTCTTCCGTTCCCAGACGCTGCCAAACGGGGTAATCGAAGAATATGTGATGTGCCAGTACTGCCAACAAGACGATCATTATAATGAACGCCGTCAACATCCATTACGAGTTGCGACGAAAATGCGCATACCAAACCGAGACGGGCAACCCCAAGAAAACATGTCAGCCGCCCAACTCAAGAAGAACAAACAAATGTCAAAACCAACATGGCGACTAATCCGGCGTCGATCAGCACGCAAACGGAGGAGCGCGCGCTGCAGATCTACCAGCTGCGGATTCGGTGTACAAATTGCGGAGCATGCAACGTGCAACTAAATACGGCGTAGGGCCGAGCCCGCTGAGCGAGCGGAAAGCTCTGGTTGATGAGAGGCAGCCCGAATTCGGCAGTACAAAATGGAGGCTTCTTGTCGACTTCGTGGCCAAGCAACCTCCTGACTACAAACTGCATTTGTGTTGTGAGACAACGCGCGATCAAAGCGTGCAAAATTTCAAACAAATTTCAATCGGGTGGCTGGGGTTCCACTATGTCCGCATTGCGTGGCACGAGACGTGCCAATCGATGTTGCTTTGGAGCCCGAAGAAAATATCCAAGCCGTGAAACATTCAATGGAACCTGCAATATCAACAACGCAACATTAACATTCCTTGGACTTGGTATCCAAAATGGCAGCTATATATTTAGATAGTGGTATGATTCATATCGGAAATTTTTTCGAACGCCACAAATGCCCGATAATTGAAACAAAAGGAACATCACGCAAAATCGGACAATGAACGCACCGAAATTTCAGCTGGCAGATACGCGACTACATACATAAACACGCGCTCTTGCCAACACTGCTGGTCCATCTTTTGTAGACAAGGTATTCACGGCCCTCCGGTCAAGCGGTGAATGACGATTCGTCGCTCATTTGTTCAAGGCAAAGCGGATGATTGCCAAGGACGATCAAAACAAACACTGCACGAATAGCTCGAAAAACATCTGCACCAAAAAATTCACGACAACATACGTACCAGCGGGTATAATTTCCATAGTGCTGACACGACCACATAAATCACCCCAATGATATTGTTCTGCCGCTTGCTGATGAAAGGCTCCAGGGTGATTTGCATGGATTTAGTGACATACAAACGTAATGCAGATATTACAAAAATTGTACACAACTTCTGGTATTGTGCGCTAGTTGAATATCGGCTCCGCTCAGCCTCCTCAACAAAGATGGCACCAACAAAAACCATTGAGATCAATGTCCCCAACTTGCAATAATACAATGGCGAAACAAAACTTCGACAACGGGTATACTTTTTGTTGGGATGCTCCTTTAAGCCGCGGAAAAACTACAAGGAACAATCTAGAACGAAGAGATCACAAAATAAGCGAGAGAGAAAAACACACATTCACTGACCATTAAACCCGATTAAAACTTTGGGGAACCAAATTCATATGTAATATGTTGATGCCTTCGAATGAATGTTCACGTGCGCTGCTGTTTTCTTGTGAACGTCGACCGCTTCAATACCGCAAGCGTTTCAGTCACCAAAACAATGTTTTACTTTCAATAACTAGACGAACACATGTTTCAATAACGTCCCCACCCCCCAAAACAAAAAAACGGCCCCAACCGGGCTAATACATTTCAAGCATTTCCATATGACCTGGCTTCTTTGTGTTCCACGAGGACGAAAAAGATGAGGGGAAAGAGAGGGAACACGAGAAAAGGGCAGGAGGAGACAAAAGGAGGAACAGAAAAACAAAAAAAGAAAAGGAATGGGAAGAAGACAAATAATAATACTAATAATAATATTACGTGGAACAACAATGAGGGGAGATGATGTTTGGTCGTAGTACGTCTTCCTATCTTTGCCAAACTTATTTCGCTTATTGATTCTCTTTTCCGAGACACGCAAAATCACGGATGCGATCGGTATTTTCATATTTTGCGTCGTCGGTATCAATAAACAAAAAAACGTTCGGTGTGATCGCAACGGGTGGGTCTGGTTATTGAAGTATTTGGATTTGATTTTGAAGCGAATGAACCCGGTTAGTTTTTGTTTTTGGGACAAACGGGTCCGGTTACTGAATCATTTGTGTTGTTTATTGAAACTCATGGGCTTAGAGATATTGAACCTTTGTGATTGTTATGTTATTGAAACACGTGTTTGTTTTTGAAACGCTTTTATTTGGTATTGAATCGGGTGGGCCAGGTTACTGAAACACTTTTGTTACTGAAACGGTCCTGTTTGTTACTGAAATGCTTTTTCGATTACTGAAGCGCTTCCTTGTTACTGAAACGGTTGCTGTTCGTCCAAAGTGGCCTCCACGAAGCAACCAAACTGATTGGTTTAATGTTTTGGCCTTTTGCGGGGGAGAAGGGTAAATCGCAAACTCCCCTTCTTTGATGGATCTCCTCCGAGACCAAGAACGCTCTCAAAGCTCCCAAAAGCGCTTCAAGAGGGCCCCAAAAAGTAGCCAAATGGCCAAAGAGTTCCCCCAGGAGGTCCCGAAGAGGCCAAAATCATTCCAAAACCCTGGGGAAACGAATGTTGTTCGCTTTCTCGCCTTTTCGCTTCCGATTGCTATTCGAGGCCTCAAGATGGTTCCAAGATGGCCCAAAAGGGCTCCAAGAGAGGCCCAGGAGAGCCCCAAAACGGCCCCAAGAGCGCTTCAAATGTGCCCAAGAGCGTCGTAAGAGGCGACTTTTTGGGCTCTCGAGGGGAAACGCTATTTAATGCTCCCCTCTTGTTTGATCGATGTCCTCCAAGACGGCCCCAAGAGCGCTCCCAAGGCTCCCAAAAGCGCATTAAGAAGGCCCCAAGACGCGCCCAGGAAAGTTCAGGAGGCCCCAACAGGCGCTCAAGGGGCCTCCAAAAGGCTCCCAAAAGACCCCCAAGAAACTCTCCGAGGCAACCCTCACCAGCCCTGGAGCCTCCCCAGAAAATCGCTCCCGTGATTTTCTCGACGCCGGTGCTGCGTATTTGGATACAATAACCGGCGAAGATGGATACGGGAACCGGTATAAATGGATATTGAACCAATGTAAGCGGATACGGAAACCTGTGCGGGTGGACACGGAAACCAGTGACGCAAGGTACGGAAACTGGTCTGGGTAGATACGGAAGCCAATCTGGGTGGATGCAGAAACCGTTGCTGGGATACCGAAACGGTTGTTCGGATACGGAATTCGCTTCCGTCGCATTGGAATCTGTAGCGCGCGAAAATCTAATTCTCAGCGTGCAGCAAGCGGACGCAACGGGCGGAGAAATCAAACTTCATCCAATTGGGTGGCTCGGCCACGACGTATTCATTTGATATTCCAAATGCGGCGACACCAACATAATCTCAGCAGCCCGTCAGGGCGCAGGTGGTTTAGGACGTTTCCTCTTCCACCCCTCCCTCTTCCCCTTGGGGGAAGAGTTTGACCCCCCCCCCCCCCGGCGAAAGTATAACGCACCCAGCACCCCAGAAGCGTTACCCTGGCACCTCGCACCTTTATGTGAACGCAGACGAGTCTGCTCGCCGAAACAAGCAAACCTTATTCGTATTATTATTGTTGTTCTTATTCTTATTACTATTCTTATTATTCTTATTCTTATTATTATCATTACCAGCTAAACAGGACAAATCCTCCTCCTGCTCCTCCTCCTCAAGACTCCCTTACGGCACGGCACCAACACGAACAGCGACAATAATACCAACAATAAAAATCATATCGAAAACAACAAGGCCAATGACACCAACACCAACAACAACATCAACATCACAAACACCAACAACACCGCCAACACCAACAATAGTAACATTAAGTCCCACGCAAGGGAGAGCCCAACTTTGAAAAGGAACCGTCCGTGCCTACAACGGGGGGCGAATCATTTTGGCCGTGCGGGTGCTAAGATAACGCGCCGTGCGTTGCGGGGGCGATCTCATCGGATGCACCCAACACGACGGCCGGGAAAAAACAATGCTTCAATAGGGGTGGTCATAATAATCGTATAGGATGAGGATGATGAAGGAAATAAAAAGAAGCGGGGGAGGAAAGAAGCGGGGGGGCGCGTCTGTTTTCGGATCTTTATTCTTCTTACTATTATCCTTACTCTCACTTGTATTTTTTTAACTATTACTATCTTATTCATACTATTATTCTTATTTGCATTCTTGTTATTATTCCTGGTCTTATTGTACTCCTTGCCTTTTCGGGAAAGCTGTCGTACTTATGTTGTGTGGGTGCGGTGCTAAGATAACGCGCCGTGCGTGGCGGGGGCGATATCCTCGGATGCACTACCCCACACGACGGCCAGGAAAAAACAGTTGTTCAACAGAGGTGGTAATAGAAATCATATAAGACAAGGATGATGAAGATACTGAGAAAAAGCTATTATGAGTGTCCGTATTAGTTTCATTCGTCTTACTCTGATTTATATTATCATTATTATTTTATTATTATGCTTATCATTCTTCTTCATAACATTATTATTTTACTACTATTATTCTTATTCGGATTATGATTCGTATTTGTATTATTGCTATGATTATCAATCTAATTCTTACTCTTTTTCTTATTATTTGTACTCTCATTATTACCATTATCCTTATCATAATCCTTATTCTTACTTGTATTATTATTCTTCTTCTTCGTATTCGTACTTCACTTTTATTCTTATTCCAATTCCACTCGGGATACCACCAGAGCCAGGGCGCGGAAATTACCTATTTTCGTTCCATTTGGTGCTAATCATATCGTTCGGTGAAAACCACCCCCCAGAATTATTCAATTGCGGTGCGGTGCTAATGATAACCCCCCGGGGTTCCTTCATGGCTTGATGAGGTTACCCCTCCCCCTCCCCCTCCCCCCTCCCCATACCCCCTTTGCCCAGGCGCCGTGCCACAAGCTGGTGCATGGCTTCCGTCTGTCCACCCCCTCCCCTGGACCTGGGCAGGCGGTTCCGCGGGTAGTTGGACCGTCCAAAGCCAGCAGCAACCGTCCAAGACGGCCTCGGCGAAGAAACCAAAATCATTGGTTGAGGTTTTGGCCCCGTTTTGGCCTCTTGCGGGGGGGAGGCAAAATAAGGAACTCTCCTTCTTTGATCGATCTCCTCCGAAATGGCCCCAAGAGCGCTCCCAAAGCTCCAAAAGTTGCCCCAAGAGGGCGCCAAGAGGTGGCCTGGAGGCCTCCAGAGGCGACCCCCAAGAGGCCTCCCAGGACGCACCAAGAAGCCCTTCAAGAGGCCTCACCGGCCCCCCAAGAGGCCTCCCGCGACATCCCAAAGAACGTCCTAGAGGCCTGTGGACCACAACCCAGGCACGGTCACCTCTGCTCGCCTTGCCCTGTTTCACCGCAGACCTAGTACGCCAAACAGGCTGGGTCACATGTGAAGAGCAGCCTTTTCCGCTTCTCTCATAACCTTCTGTTCCAGCAGGATGACCTGCTTGCAACAAACAAGATCCAAGGCAATGCTGCGTTGACGACGGGAATGCTGCTGGCATTGGCACCCCTTGGCCTTCGTGAGGGCCCTCACATAAGATACACGCAACAGATTTGCAGAACGAGCGCCAGCTGGGAGACGTAAACATGTAGTCAGCATGCCGAACAAACACACAAACGCAACCTGACCACATCTTACGATAAAAGCGCTAATATGATCATCACCGAGCCTGGCATCACATACACTTGCTCCTGTCATGTGTCTGTGTTCCGCCTGCATCTGCATCTTGTTGTAAGCGGGACGTTCACATAGTAGCAAACCGACGCAACTTGCAATGGATTGTGTGACTACCATCACGGCTGCTACGTGTAACAAGGTCCAACAAACACCAGTACGGTTCACACGGCGATGCGACTTGTCAGTCTGATGCCACTCGCTGTGTGGCACATTTTCGCAAGCAACGACTAATACCCACCATACTTCAACATGGACATGTTACAAACGCGTGCAATGCAATCTAACGCATTTCTAGCCTCCTCCGGCTTGGTGTAAGAAATTATGAGCGTGTTGTGCTGGTGCTTCCACGACAACTTCTCATCTTCCAACACCTCCGACCCCGGTCAAACCAATTCCTTGATGCGTCGTCACGTCGTCATAGTTTGTCACGTTTCTGTCTGTCCGCGCCAAACAAAGCCATGTCCCAAGACAATGCTTTACCTCCCTTGCTCGATCAGTGACCAACTGCGTGCATGAGCAGTTGAACAGCACACGTATGCGCATTGACAACATGATTCAGTGGAACAGTACACGAATACGCATTGGCACAGGAGTCAATGGAGGAACACTAAGGTCATGCCATACCGTCCACATTGACTCGCGACAACAATCTGGAGGCCTCGACATAGCAAGTCGTAGCAGGACTTCGGACGAGGGAGGGGCTTCAAGATGAGAAATGCTTCGGGAAGGGCATATCTCGAATAGAATCTGATCCCGGCCAAGGGAATGCGGGAATGCTTCGAGCTGGGAAGGTTCAGGTGAGGTCTTCGAGTCGAAATGTGCTTCAAGCGTGGGGGTGATTCGAACAGAATAGGCTGCGAACATGTGCCTTCGAATATGGCCATGGATGAACCGGGACACACGCCGAACATTTAGAGCAATGAAATCACGCAGATGGGAGCTTTTTTCGAGCAACACAACCATCTCGAAGAACGAAAGCACAAGCAGTCTTTGATCTGCTACGAACTGGCACTGCGAATGAGGCGCGTCCATCTGAAGAGCTACCGCCACACGAGGAATCTAGTGGCCGAGTGCCGAGCGGCCAATTCGTGGCCAGCACCGAAGGACATCGCGAACCCTTCTGGCCGCGGGGGCAGGGCCCCCGCCGAGCACATCCCTGGACCAACCGTCGGGACCAGGTTGGACGACGAAAAGGGGGGAGCAGAAAAGGATGTGTCTGGCGAATCTACGGGAACGAACAGTGACATAAGCATAAAACTCGGAGGTCCGCGCGGATTTCCCGGATCGGCGAGGGGGCCCCGGCGGGCGCGCTCCGCGCGCCAGGGAGGGGGGTCGAGCGCCGGTCCGAGAAATCCGCGCGGACCTGCGAGTTTTTATATTTACAGCCGGGGCGTTGAGCTAAGGAACCCCAAATAAGGAACGAGTCCCCTTTTGCCTCAAATTTCGATCTCCCATGGAAAACCTCAGGAAAACCTGAGGACAACTGTGAGGCAATCAAGGAACACGGAGCCCCTCCCCAACGAGAAGGGCTCCTTCTTCAACGCCCCGGCTGTGTGTCATTGTTCGTTCCCCTAGGCTCGTCGGGTCGGGCGAAAGGGGGGGATAGCAAAGGGGGGGTTTGAGGATCAGCTCACGCAGCTGACTTTCCCGGCGCCTCCCGGCGTCGGGAGGCGCGCATGTATCGAGGAATGGGCCCCTCGGTGAGGCCGAAACCAGCTGCATGCAGCAAATTTCGTAGCCCCCCCTTTCCCAATCCCCCCCTTTCGCCCGACCCGATAGGCTCGGCTCACGTGGCTGGCTTCCCTGGCGGCGGGCGCCGGAAGTGCCCCCGCAGCAAGGCAGGCGCCCGGCGGCGGGGCCGCAACCGGCTGCACGCGGCAGTTCTCGTGAGCCCGCCCTGCTGGCCCAATCCATCCCCTTCGTCGGGGGATCCATCCCCTTCGTCAGGGGATCGAAGGATTGCAATCCTTCGTTCAAGTGAGGGCATTGCAGAAATCCTTCGTCAGGGTTTTTTTTTTTGCAATCCTTCGTCAGGGTTTTTTTTTTGCAATCCTTCGTTCAAGTGAGGGTCGGAGGCAGCATGCGCCGGAGCGCGCCCTCTGCGGGCTGCTGCGCGCGCAGGATTCTCGCACGCCCCCTTCCTGAAAGTTCTCGCGCCCAGGCTTCTCCGACGATTCTCGCACGCACCAGAAGCAAGACAGCACAGACGAGAGATACAAGGAGGAGGCGAGGAGCGGAGAGGACTGCAGGGAGCGATCGGGGCGACGTGGTCAGGCCCCCCCCCCCTTCAACAACAAGAGGAGGCCTTGCCGCATCGCGCGAGGTCGGGAACGCCTATCCTGGCTGCCGGCAGGCGAGGAGGAGGAGGAGGAGCGGGAAGGCGAGGGGGACGGGGAAGATCAGCAGAGCCGGAGGGGCAAAGGAGGACGACGAGTGGGCAGAGCCAAAGAGGAGAAGAACAGCCATTGGGTGAGGAGGAAGACGAGGGACAGGGAGAAGAGGAGGGGAATCTGCGGAGGAACACCACTGCGCCGCCGCTTTCCCAGATGCGTGTGGGCACTTGCGATCTGGGTGCACAGAAGAGGCACGGGTGGATCAATGTCCCTAGGAAAGAGTGATCATCCGTTCCCCCTTTGCCACGGCTCGACTTACCACGCCCTCCGCATGTCGCTTTACGAGCGGACCCCCGAAATTCGACCGTGCACCGCAGGATACCCCAATGAGCACGCGATCGCGCAGAGACAATCCGCTGGGATTCGGCGAACGGTAATCTGAGATGGTGATCCTACTGTGTGTGCTTCCGCTGTAACCGGCGAGGCTGCCGCTGTAATCTTCCCGCCGAAGCGACTCCGCTGAACAACGATGTGCTTCTGGTGATCCGCGGGACTGCCCTCACATCGTGCGCTCGTGAGGCCTGGCAGTGCCGATGCGTCATCGACAATGGTACCCTGGGTTTCTTAATAAGCGTGGAGGGTACCCCCCCCCCCGACGGGGGTCGACCTCGCCTCGTCGTCGCGCAGCGCCGGGGGTCGGAGCGCCTTCGGCGCGCGGTGGCTGCCCGCGACGGGGGTCGATGTGGGGCTGTCGGCGGGGGTGACGCCCCCCCGACTCTTGCTAAGAGACTCGGGGCAACGGCGGGCTGTGTTGGGACTCGCCGTTCAGCGCGAGATTCGCCGTACTTTGATAAGACATGCTGCGTACCAGCTGCAGCGCTCCAACACAGAACGCCAAGAGAAAGAGAGAGAGAGAGAGAGAGAGAAAGAAAACCATATCGAGGAGGAAACAATACGGAAGAACAATCCACTGAACAAGAGGAACGAACGAGGAGGAAAACACGGACAAAAAGGGCAGGAGGCAGGCAGGAAGAAGAAGACCACGAAGCAGGTGAAAAACGTGCGTCCCAGGAGCCGCCCCCGCCCCCGTACCCCCGAGTGAGGGAGGGGGAGGCTGAGGCCAACTTCCTCTCCACGGCTGCCAGTCAGGCAACGCTGCAGGAGGAGGAGGAGGAGGAGGAAGAGAAGGAGGAGGAGGAAGAGGAAGGAGGGAAGAGGAGGAGGAGGAGCAACAAATTGATGGAACTCGCAGCTCGTCTCCCGGAAGCAGTGTCCAGCTCGTTCCCCGTACGTGTGTGCTGCAAGCGTTTCTGCAGTGCTCCTGGGCTTGGCAGCGCTTCCCAGGCTCGTGGGGTAAATTCCTGCAGTCGAGTCGAGGGTTTGGGATATACGTCTTGACTGGCGCGCGAGCTGAGAGGAACGAACAGTCTTAAACTGATGCTGATTGTTGTTGTTGTTGCTGTTGTTGCTGCTGTCATTGTTGTTGTTGTTGTTGTTGTTGTTGTTGTTGTAATTGTTGTTGTTGTGGTGGTTGTTGTTGTTGTTGTTGGACTCTCACTTCTGAAGAATGATTGTTGTTGATCCCCCCTCCGACGCACATGGTATCTTTTAACTGAAGTGCCCGTCGCCTCCAAAGCCGAAGCTATGCTCTGGGCATCCACCTCGCACCTGCTTATTTATCAGGGGAAGTCCAGAGGCTCAAAGTGGGCCCCTGGCTCCCGAACTCAAGCAACAACGGCTCCAGCCTGGTACTTCCCCAGAATCTATTGGGACCCCCGCTCCCGCATAGGATTCCCTTGCCATTTACTGAAACATCGCGCTCTCGCCTGAGACTTCCTTGCGATGCACTGCGGCGTCGCGCTCTCGCCGTTCTGTAACTGCGCTCCCGCCCTGGACTTCCTGACAATCAACGTGGGAATCGCGCTCTCGCCCGCCTCCTCCTCCTCCTCCTCCTCCTCCTCCTCCTCCTCCTCCTCCTCCTCCTCCTCCTCCCGAGACTTCCCAACGAATTATGCACGACTCACGTATTCGCGACCCGCCCGCCCGACCCGCCCGTCAGGGTCCGCCCGGGAAGGTCCGCAGCCCCTCGCTGCCTTTCGCCCGTTCCGGTGCCCCTCGCTGCCCCTGCGCTGCCGCAGTCGGACTTGAAGGCCCCGCCGCTGCCTGCGTGGCCTCGTCGACGCGTTTCGTGACCCCGCCATTTGAGCCCCTCGAGGCCGTTCGTGGCCACGCGGCCGCTTTCCGTGGCCACCTCTCTGACCTTCGTGCCCCTGGTGCAACTCTTCGTGGCCCTTCCGCTGCCCTTCCTGGCCCCTTGGCAGCCCTCAGTGGCCTCCTCCCGTTGAAGGGTTGTCCTTTTTATGACTGTGTCGTCCTCCATCTTCTCCGTCCCTCCCATTTCCCCCCCTTCCCTCCTACCTCCCTGCACCTCCTCCCCTCCTCCTCGCTTTCTCTTTCCCACTACCTGTGCTATTCTGTGAAGAGCCTTCGTCGTTTACACGTGGCAGGGAAAAGAAGTATCCTTCTCTAGAGGGGGTACGAACGAAGACGAAGAAGGCGGGTATCCAGGGCTTGAGAAACACATGTTAATTGACACGCGCGCGTATAAATGCGAACAATGTTACGAATGATTGTTGTTGTTGTTGCTGTTGTGGTTGAATTCTCAATTATTGAAAATATTGTTGATCACCCTCTCCGGTAACCACTATGTTTGTTCAATTGAAATGCTTTTCCTGGGGCTCGTACTCTGTTTTTTCATGGGGAATCACGGGGCTCGTATTTTTTTTGAGGGAACGTGACGGGTCACCAAACTGAGACCCTGGCCACCGAGTTACAACAACAACGGCTCCTGCCTGAGATATCATTACAAATTATTCCCCAAATTGCGCTATCAAGCAAGACTTCCTCACCATGTATGCAAGAATCGCGCTCTCGCGTGGGACTTTCTCGCAATTCGTTCAGGTCGCGCCCCCGACACTCAGGAATCTCGCTCTCGCTGTGGATTTCCCCACGAACTATTTGGGAATCGCGCTATCGCTTGAAATCCCCCCGCGATTCATGCAGGACTCACGCTTCAGCAGCCCGCCTGCCTATTGCCCCTTCCTTCCATCCATCCTCTTTTCTCCTGCCTTAGGGGCTGCACGACAAACGCGTTGAAAAGTCGACAATAACATCTGTAATGGGGTTGCAATCGAAGACGAAGAGGGTGGGTATCAAGGGTTTGAGATACACGTGTTGAAAGGCACGCGAGCAAATAAGAGCGAACAGCTGTAACATGATACATCGTGGTAGTAGAAGCAGACGTAGTAGAAGTCGCAGAAGCAGACGTAGTAGTAGAAGTAGTAGCAGTAGTGGTAATAGTAGCCGTAGTCGAAGTCGTAGTAGTAGCTGAAGTAGCTGTAGTAGCTGTAGTAGTAGTAGTAGTAGTAGTAGTAGTAGTCGTAGTAGTAGTAATAGTAATAGTAGTAGTAGTAGTAGTAGTAGTAGTAGTAGTAGTAGTAGTACTAGTAGTAGTAGTAGTAGTAGTCGTAGTAGTAGTAGTAGTAGTAGTAGTAGTAGTAGTAGTAGTAGTAGTAGTAGTAGTAGTAGTAATAGTAGTAGTAGTAGTAGTAGTAGTAGTAGTAGTAATAGGAATCGTAGAGGGAATAGTAGTAGTAGTTGTAGTAGTAGCAGTAGTAGTAGTAGTAGTAGTGATTTAGTAGTAGTAGTTAGTCGGGTAGCAGTCGTAGTTCGTAGTTAGGTAGTAAGTAGTAGTAGTAGTGGTCTTGGTAGTCGTAAGTATAGTAGTATAGTCGTGTAGTGTAGTAGTAGTAGTAAAAGTAGTAGTGTAGTAGATAGTAGTAGTAGTAGTAGTAGTAGAGGTTAGTTAGTAGTGTAGTAGCAGTAGTAGTAGTAGTAGGTAGTAGTAGTAGTAGTAGTAGTAGTAGTAGTAGTAGTCTTAGTAGTAGTAGTACTAGTAGTAGTAGTAGTAGTAGTAGTAGTAGTAGTAGTAGTAGTAGTAGTAGTAGTAGTAGTAGTAGTAGTAGTAGTCGTAACAGTAGTGGAAGTTTAGAGTAGTAGTAGTATTGTCGTTAGTAGTAGTCGTAGTAGTCGTAGTATTAGTAGGAGTTAGTTATTAGTAGTGTGGTAGTAGTAGTAGTAGTATGGTTGCAGTATTGTTAGTAGTAGTGGTAGGTCGTGTTAGTAATAGTAGTAGCATGCAGCAGTAGTAGGTAGTAGTAGTAGTAGTCGTTGTAGTAGTAGTAGTAGTAGTGAGTATAGGAGTTAGTAGTAGTCGTAGTAGTAGTCGGCGTAGTATTAGTGTCGGAGTAGTTAGTTTAAACTAGTAGTAGTCGTAGTGATTAGTAGTAGTAGTAGTAGTAGTAGTGGTTAGGTAGTAGTAGTAGTAGTGTTAGTAGTAGTAGTCTGTAGTAGTGAGTCAGTAGTGAGTAGTGTGGTAGTAGTAGTAGTAGGAGACAGTAGAATAACTCGTTAGTAGTAGTAGTAGTAGTAGTAGTAGTGGTAGTAGTGGTAGTAGTCGTAGTAGTAATATTAGTAGTAGTACTAGTCGCAGCCGTAGTAGTAGTAGTAGTAGTAGTAGTACTCGTAGTAGTAGTAGTAGTAGTAGTAGTAGTAGTAGTAGTAGTAGTAGTAGTAGTCGTAGTAGTAGGACTAGTGCTGGTACTAGTAGTAAGTGTAGTAGTAGAGCGCACCGAGGATAGTAGTAGTAGTAATGGTAGTAGTAGTAGTAGTGGTGGTAGTAGTAGTAGTAGTGGTAGTAGTAGTAGTAGTAGTAATCGTAGTCGTCGTCGTCGTCGTCGTCGTCATAGTAGTAGTAGTAGTAGTGGTAGTAGTAGTAGTAGTAGCAGTAGTAGTAGTAGTAGTAGTAGTAGTCGTAAAAGTAGTAGTAGTAGTAGTAGTAGTAGTCGTAGTAGTAGTAGTAATACTAGTAGTAGTAGTAGTAGTAGTAGTAGTAGTAGTAGTAGTAGTAGTAGTAGAAGTAGTAGTAGTAGTAGTAATAGTAGTAG